TTCCTGAGCATGGCAACCAAAAGGTCTACTTGTGAGCATATACTTCGTGTTCTAATGCACCTGAATGACTAGCACCTTCCATCAATATAAGATTAATTACTATCTTTTTTATGGAATCTTTTAATTCAGCATCACTATTAATTGAACAGGAATTTTTTGCTGTTGAGGCAGCTCCCACCTTGGTGCATTTGTTCAGCAAATGCAGACATGTGCCTTTCCATATCTAGCTTTTCTGCAGTCACTGGAGATCACCTTGGATCTTTCTCACAGTTGTATCACTGAAAAAAGTACATGATTGTTTGCAGGCAAGGGAAGCAAGTAACTCACACAGTGTTCAATAACAAAGACAGTAAACTCAGTCAAGAGTAAAATCCTCACTGTCAATTCCAAACACCCACTTTAGCTAATAAACAGATGAATGTATATGTAGGGAGAGGTTATGGCAACCAAATTCTGAAGGTTTGCTTCTTCATTTATGAAACAGAAAATTAACATTTCACATTGCAGATAGAAGCATCTCATCTTTTTTAATACATGCGCTTCTTTACAGAACAATAAAAGGAATTATGTCTTTAAGCACTCATAGTTTGATTTTTTTGGTGCTCGTTAGTGATTCAGAAACATGCACAACTTCTGCACAGAAAAGGCTTCTGGTAACGAAGTTCATGGCTACATCCTCTTACCTGCTATTTGAGTAACAGCTTCTTTCAGTTTTAAATCAGAAAATCAAATTGCAAGGAATAATATGCTAAAAGAACAGAAAAACCAAATTCATGAAGTCTCATCACTGCTTCATTTCCCAAGCTATACAGATGTTAATTTGAAAGGAAGGAAGAATATTTCAAAAGTTTATTAGTGCCTGTAGAGTAACGTATAATGGCAACTAACAAGAAATCCATCTTTCCAAAACCAGCAAGTTATGGAGACTGTAAAAACAAGCAGCTATGTTTATAGCTGAAAGTGAGCTTGAAGGCTGGAGTCCCTGAAACATCTACCAAGTCTGGCTAGCTAAGGTCTAACCACCTTCTTCCAAGACCTTCACGAATACCCCCTCAATGAAGTGTTTTTGAACTTGAAACTCAAGAAAAGCGTGCAATTTCACAGCAATTAAGAATTAACATTCCAACTTAAATCATACAAGCAAATCTCACAAACGGAAAGGCACAGGTCAGCAGCTGCCAATTCAAACATGAGAATGCCAATTCCGGTGGTCCACCCTCACTTTTGGTGAATAAAACTTAACTGTTCCCCTGTGTCATTTTCAACTATTAGTAAGCAGTGACACTGTGGCAACATGGCTTAGAGTCACATCTTTGAACTGGCTAAGAATCTCAGAAATAGTGATACATTGCCAACAGAGCCTTTCAAAAGAATAAAACAAGTGTGTCAAGGACTCAGGTGAGTATGACCGGGTTTGAAATACTACAGGTCAAAAAACAACACATTTTTGTGTTTCTTCTTTAACAGTCAGGAACCCTCCAACAACACATTGATTAAACCTGAAACATGGGAAGCTACACAGACTATTAGGATGAAATGAAAGCATGTTCCTTTTTAAAGAAACAGAGTTTTATACAAGTATAGGCATGTTTAAGTGAATGTCAGTGAAAATAGCAGTTCAAAGCAGAAAAAGGAATTTTTAGTGTAAGAGTCCTGCTGTGCTGCAACCAGGTAAATGATTATAACAAAGATGGTAACCACGCTAGAGAACTGACAAACTAACGTTACAATAAAAGGCAACTGGTAGATAAAGTCATAACTGCAGACAATTCGAAGAAGAGTAAAGGTAACAGTGAAATGTATTTGCATAATTAGTTAATTCTACTGTCATTATGACCAAGATTTTCTGAGACTATAAATGTTGAATATGAACAATTTGTTAAGCATCTTCAGTTTTTGTACTTGTTTTCCTGGTGGGAAAAAAGCCTCAGTAGCTTAGAGGTGAAATCTGTAACAACAGCCATAGCAAAAAAAACTCTGTAATAGCTATTAGTCAAACAGCTGCCACTTCATACTAGAATAGGCTGATCAAATTCTGACAGTTCTGAGCTCTGTAACCTTTTTTTCCACATTTCTTCCCAATTTGTTGTCCTCACAAATCTGTGTTGAGAGACATAACACAAGCAGCTTGACTCCAGCTGGAATGGCAAGCAAAACAGTCTCTCTGGAGCCAGTACTTCCAAAGATGTTCCCAAATATGCTTGCACCTTCATTTCACTCAAAGAAGTTAAATGAATGTACAAGGAGCCACGAGGTATTTGTCCACCTATATGAAATGTATACAAACTACTGACGCAACCACATTTCTCTCTACATCCACCTATAGCAAACCTGAAATTATGGCTGCACTTCTGAAGGTCAATTCCCTGGCATTACTGCAGCACATTCCAAAAGGCTGATATCAACATTCCTTCCTAGAGAGCTTGATACTGGATTGGTGACTGAAATGAAGAAGGTAGGTGGCGTGTAGAAGCAGAGTTGTTGAACAGCTGGCAACATCTGTGTTTCAGCTATTATCACACAACATTTACTAACTACAGCCAAAATATTGAGCAATTTTTAGAATTGTAGCAGTTTCCACATTCATTTTATTTCCTCCGATCTGTTTTCGGCAAAAAACAGTAGTCACAAGGAAAGACACTAGAAAAATATATTTAAGTAACACCAATCATTTAGTATTTCTTCAACGTTGGGCTTCTGATAGTTCAGAATGCCTTCTATTTTGAAGCATCTAGCTCAATAGCAGGAATAGAAATGCATAGAACAGAAAATCTTGGTAGCTTCTTCCAAGCTTACCTGTGCTGTAAGTCATAAAATTGTCAATCAAATCACTTTGTGTAGTTCTTAATTATATTAAATATAAACTTATGCTAATGATAATCTTGCGGAAATCTGAAATCATCACCTGTTACATTCCTTAATAGTTGTAATTTTTTCCTCTGATGTTTTCTTATCTTTCACAGCTAGACAGCAAATAGAAATGACACAGCAGCATGAAGATGCACACTGTATAAACACCATAAGGTAAATAACAAATTAAGAATTTTGAAGAGATCTTCATAAAAATATTAATTAATTTAAATAATTTAATTTTCTAGTTTACTGCTAGGGATTTACAAACAACTAGATCTGTCTGGATTGAAAAGAAATAATAATCCAAAATTTACCTCAGTAAATTATTCTAGACAGATTTGAGACAGCAGATATGAAGCTCCATGGGACAAGAGAATAGTAGGTTAATTTTTCACTCATGCATACCTGGACTCAGCTAGTCAACATAAGTACGTATGTAACTCATCCTATGTACTCCCTAGAATGTCCCATACAATGTGTCCAATCTGTCCAAGCCTGGAATACCCAAACTTTGCAAATCACAAGTAAGATCTAATTGCTTTTCATTTTAGATATGGAAACAGCCTCTCTGACTCACAATATAGGAGAGTTAAATCCATGGCATCATTCACATAAATTAAACTAGCACTTGGGTTTGTGTCTACCTGAAGTAAAGCAAAAAGAACTGGATCCAGAGTTCATTCATCTCAACAAAACTGACATCATTCCAATTACTTCATGGCATAATTTATGATGTCCATACACTCTTTTAAAATGTGGTGAGTCAGGTGATCAAAAACAGAGCAGTGGATTTTGTGCTCATACTCCTCAAAATAATCTCTTTATGAAACAGACACTGACACTCAGTGCTGGATATGAAATACTTATTTTTTCATGTATGAGAAACTGACCTTTCCAAACACCATTAATTTGTATACGCAATTCTGAGTTCTGTGTATTCAATGGATGCTCAAAATTTTGTTTCTGAAATACCCATATGTATCAGATATTGCATTTCAAAGCTTCACCCTCCATAAACTTATATAAATAGATTTGCATGAAATACACTCTGTAAAACAAACAAACAAAAAAAACCTCAAACCCAACAAACAGTTAAAGGGAAACTAGGATAAATTCAAATAAACAAATTTTAAAAGGCACACCGTGTTGCTAGATACAGTAATAACTTAATAAAAGCAAGAACAAAGGCCAGGAAAGCCACCTGCAAAACTTAATTTCTTAAATAGTAAGACAAGAAATTTCTGCTGCATTGCCTTGGGTCAGAAGAAACATACCAGCACTTAACCATGTCTTGCAGCAGTACGCTGATTAATTTACAAAATTTTAACACACAAACGAACAAAATCCTTCTACCTAGTTGAAAAACAAATGGAGTTTGCAAACTGAATGATTACCCAAATTAAAACCTGTGTGGTTATAAGGCTGTAGTTTACATCCCTGCTCTCATGACACTTTTTAATAAGCACAGACAATCGTAACATAGTTGAGTCCTACCTGAAAACCTACACTTTCATCAGCGAGTTCCTCCTAGTACTACACTAAACCATAGTTCAGTTCCAATTCAGAGGAAAGAATCAATCTTCAGGTGAAATTACATGAGACTGGTGAGCCTTAAAGGTCTTGCTCTTCTTGCCTGATCCTAGCCACATGGCACCATTCCTCAGATCAGCTATGCATATTTGTGAAACCCTTCACTGCATATTAAGCTACATAAAGTCAGATAGTTATCTGTGGGTTAGTGAGCTGAATGGGTTCGCAGAATGTATCCAACAAAGGACAGGAAAAAATTCAAGATGGAAGGTGAGACCTCTCCTATTTTGCATCAAAAAGCCAGTAGATTAGCTCTTAGTTTCTCATCAATATAATTTTCTGAAGAATGTGGGAAAGAAAAATCCTGAAAACACCTAAATACCAACCTGGCCCAACCCTGCTCACAATAGCTTGTGAAATCTGATAGGATCAAAGAATGGTGTAAGGCTGTAGGCTTTCTACAGGTCTGAAGACAACTTTACAGCTATAAATAGTAACCAGCACCTTTAACACCCAAACACATTTAAACAGCTTCTCTTTAAGGCAAACCAACAACTACATTAAAAACAAAAGAATTTTATTGACAAAACTAAGTTAAACAAAATGCATTAACTTACTGAATCCAGAAAGCAGAGATAGGTTCCAGAGCTCTGAATTACTGCTTGATTTTTAGCAAATCCAACTGTTGAGAAAACAAAGATAAAATTATGCAGTAGTTTTTACCTTTCTGTTTTTTTTAAGTCTTACTACAGTCGGGAACAGATAAAAGGAAATAGGAAAATCAGTATCAGGTACAGTATGCAATTTTTCCATATTTAAAACCAGGTAATTTCTAAATATTAAAATTGTATACCTATTTCAGTCTTCATTTCTGAGTGGTTATCAGTTGTATGTGTTAGAATTCTACCACCAAGTAGAATTAGACTACTCTTGCTAGCCCTCCACAAAGACATGGTCAACAGAGCCAGGTCCTCAGAAGGAATCAAAAAAAAGTTCTGTTCCATTATGCTTGTTAAATATCAAGTAAGCAAATAGAAAAACTTCATGCATCATTTATGTAATGGCACATGTAATGCAGAGGGGAGCCAAAGAAGAAGAATATATGTACAAGGAGCACAAGCCCGGCTTATTATACCATAACATGTTATACCATCTATGGAAGACCACACCGAAACATGAATTCAGTCAAATGACAACACTGGCATCTAGGATCTTTTAGTTTCTCCCCCCCCGACGCTTCCTGAATCTTTTACCATGCCGTTTCAGGAATCTGAACCAGAAGAAACCTTTTTTGTCAGCTTAATTTCTGAAGCAGATGACAGCACTAGAGGGTCAAACAAATAGCAGAGCCAGAAAAAAAAAAAAGGGGGGGGGGGGGGGGGGGAGCAGGAATACAGAGCCAATGGTAAGGATGGGACTGCAGCCACCAGCAATAAGATGAACTCTGCTTACCACTGAAATACATCTGCGAACCAGGAGTGTTTACCTGGGAAAATTTTTGTATGTAGACAAGGTCTACCTAAGAACATTCTGGTCTTTGAATTCTTCTCCCAGGCAGAATTATAAGAAAAGACCACACTATATCCAGTGTTATTCCGACAAATGCTATATGAATTCCACTTGGTCATATATGTAACATTTCAGCTTCTTTAAAGTATTTATGGAACCAAGTCAGGGAATCCAGCAAAAGATTGCGCTGACATGCAAACCAAATTACTCAAAGATATGCAATGCTGTGAGTTTTTTATTCTTTAATAGGAAAACTGGAAACGTAAAGCCAGACAATCTCACCATGAAGTGAAGTAGGATAATTTTAAATAATACTATCCCTAGAGTTCCTGATTTTGCATTTGAAAAAAGCAGACTTCTGTAATTTTCTACTCTTTTTATGCGATACGGGTTTAAGTTTGCTCAGGAAACAAATTTAACTGGCCTCAAAGGTTCACTTAGTTTTAACGCACATGCTCCTTGGCTATCTTGCTGAATTGTCCAAGTACAGAAAAAGACTTATGACTGCATTTCTCACTGCCTCAAAGGAGCATTATGTCAACTACCAACAGAACACTACTAATAAAGGCTCCTCCTTATAATTGTGTTATTCTTTTCTTATGTATTTTGAGGTTTTTAATCCTCACCTTAACTTCTATTCATCATGGATTTGTTAGACATATTAACTTGCAGTATATTTACATATTACTTTTTATACACATATCAATATCTAATCTCACATATACAGTTACTCTCATTCTCCTTCCTATTGGCAGTAAAAAAGCAGCTGGCAAAGTCAGTAGCTACCACAACAGCAGAGCTGAATCCTGGCATGAGCAGTTTTAGTGGGAAACAACTGATGCAAGTTAGCAGGTCTGGACATGCCAAACAAGCAAAACCCTAATACTGTGGAGGTCCCTGCTAAAGCAAGAGGTAAAAGAACAGGATAGAACTAAATTTGCCCAACATCAATCAAATCAACACTCTCATACATCATTACCAGCTGTAAAGCAGCCTGTACTTACATTTCAATGCTGTCATTACTATACCCCAATATTTCAACAATCTTCAGTAGAAAATAATGAAGTACTAGGAATCAATAACGTAGGAAAAAAGTGAAGGAGGCTCAAAGACAACTACAAGATGACAATTATATTACTCTATGAACTTTCTGAAATATTTCAGATCTCATTTTCAAATAAAACACTTCAAATAAAATAATGAAATATTTAATATTTGTTAGGAGAAAAAGTTGAAAAATATTTCTAAGATTAAGGCAGAAACCATCCTGAAGCTTTTCATATACCAACTATTTTTTTAGATGGGAGAGAAGAAAATATTTTAAAAATATTAATAAGAGAGGTATAACTCCCCATAGAAGAAATGAGATATTAAAAATTGTTTCACGACAATGAATCCTATGTTTGGCACGAGTAAAAAATTTTCTTTAATATTACTCTACTGAACAAAATCAAATGTTTGTGCCAGGTCTCTGAGTTTTGTAAGGCCTGCTTACTTGGTGAAAAGAGCCTGTTACCATGGTTACAGCCGTAAAAACTTAAGCCTCAGTGAGATATTAACATTCCTCACTCTTGGAAAGAAAAAGGTTTCCTTTTTTTAGGCAAGTGACCCTTTCTTTTTTTCTAGGTTCCCCCCCTTTCTTTTACATGTTAGAAAAGAATCAGAAATAAATCCTAATCTTGTGTAAATAGTTGAAGATGTGAAGCCTGACTAGTACATTGTTTCTGTACTAAAGCATCTTCTTTTAAAGGAACGACTCCTTACAGTTGTAACTAGTCCTTAACATAATAAAAGTAAATCACTGAGAGCAAACAAATACTATGGATTTCAAGTAACCTGCTCCTAAAATGCAACAACCACGAAGAAAAGATGTCCTCATTTTAATGGCGACCTAAGAGTGACTTCCACATGAATAACCTTGGTTTTGTTTTGGTATTTTTTTTTCCAAAGAGCTATGCATTTCATACTATTATTTAAAACAATGCTCACAGCTGCATCCTCCACCGCCAATTTATTAAAGATTTGTTCAGGTTTCAGCTATCCTAACACTGACAAATGCATGTTTAAAAAAAAAAAAAAGTCTGACATATCTCTAATGGCACAATATACTCCTTGTAGTTCACCACTCTAACTTAGTTTTAGTTTCGATTTCCTAAAGTGCAAAGGTGAACTGACTTCAGAATTCTAATGTAATTACTGTCAAAACATTGCATCTGTGTGTTCTTGCAAACTAAAAACTAGTTTACACACAATTAATATAATACTCTATTAGGAACAAGACTTTACACACGTAAAGTGTTTTATAAAAATGGAAAATATATGATAAAACAAGGCGGTATTAACAAAACATTACTAACCAACTTTCCTAAGTACCATAATTAACAACCTCTGGTATTATTGACTTTTTTCCTGAGAAATCGCAACCTACTTAGCTTCTAGGTCATCAGCTACTAAGATATGTAAGTAAGATTTGAAAGGAGACAAATCACCCAATAGTTGGGGCGGGGGGGGAGAAGATAGATAAATTTCCAGGAATACAAGCAATTCTTGACATTGCTCAACTCCAGCTTTATCAGTTGCCCAAAAGAGAAAAATTCCCTCTACAAACCTTATCTGTCTTTGGTCATCACCAGCTCAATAATGCTAGTATTACAAGTTGCACTGTCAAAACAACAATAGTTCCTGCTAGAGATATTACAATACTAGGAATACTTATAGTACCAGTTATGCTGTGTTACTTCAGTATTGCTAGGTCTGACAACTGTTTGAAAAACAGCTCTAAAGAAGTCTACAGTCAAAAGAAATTACAGTAAATGAAGCCAGGGGCCTATACCAAGTTGCAGATGAGTTCAGTGCACAAACTCCTATTTATTTGCATGTTTCAACAGGGGATGAAAATTAAGCCTTCTGAAACAGAACTGGGCTTTTTCATAAGACCATTTTGAGTAGACTGTAATAAGCCTAGGTTTCTTTCCAGTTACAAACAGGACATTTTGTTAAAAAACAGAAACTGACCAGATTTTGTGTTAAAGTGTTTCCAAAGTGTGTCTTTTAAGTGAGATAACTTGAAAGACACAAATTTGGAAGCAGTTTTGTATCAATTCCTACCCATCTACTCATTGTCACAAAGTCCAGAATGATAGAAACGTTATACAGCTCCTACACAAAATGCAAGCACACTGTTCTGCTTGCTTTGTCCTGTTGTTCCGCTGCAGAACACAGACATGATCTTCCAACTTCAATGCCATTCAACACCAGCTTCTTCAAAGAGCAATATGCTTTTATTTCTATTTCACATTTCAGCAAGCTTGTCTGCTAAAAAAACTCTAAACATAAACCAACCAAAACAAGCAAAAGAAAAAGGATAGGTTTGTTTGTTATCTCCTCCAGTGGGTAAACGTAATTCATATTATCATGTAAATCAACAGGGAATCACACCATACACTGATCTGGTAGCTCACTAAATACATTGTTTTAGCCCCTTGTGTAAACACTTAAGAGTTTAGTGAGAGTTTTTAGCTCACATCAAAACTTTTCTGAAACCTGTGTTTTGATCTGGTCATCAAAGGGATATAAAAAACCCCCTTATTTTGTTCTATATATCAGGGTCTATTCTACAATACTGAAAGATACGCATTTACTTTTAAAATCATTATGTAAGAGGTTCTGGATTTCTTTTTTTCTTAAAGCCCATCTCCTTAAGATGAATCAGCTATCAGAAAGGCACAGCAAAATCATAAGCATTAACAACATTGTGTATATTACAATTAAACAAAATTCTTTTTGCAGAATAGAGCACAAGTGTTAAGCCAAGTTGTTCTTTCCTGGACATGTAAACAAATTCTACAGAGCCAAAACCAACAGGGCCAAATTCTAAATTGGAATGAGTTTTTTTAACGGAGAGCTCTGGAAAACAACATGGGTTTTTTCCATTGCAATGCAAGTGGCTACAAAGACACTTTTCAAACTAAAAAACAGAAGATGCTTGTCATAACAACCTAACTCTCAAAAAAATCACCATTAAGCTACATACCACCTCGAGGTTGAGATGAATCATTACTCCCAATGATTACTGGAACACCAGCACCCTCCAACTTGATCTTCCATTTTTCAATTATTTCAGCTGAACTGTCCTAGAAAAATGATGACATAGGCACAGCTATCTTAACTTGTATGGTAAACCAAACACAGTCCAAAACAGAAATTCCTACCAGAGACAGTATTCACTTGGACAGTATTTTAAATAAGGTGTGAAGCATACCTTACTGGCATCATTAAAAACCGACAGCTCCATGGTTCCTTTAAAATCTTGTTCCCAAACCGACTTTAAGCATTCATCTAACCAGCATTCGCTGTTGTGAACAGGGACAATGACAGACTACAAAAAAACCAAACAAAAATCCAGATATATGTCAGTAAGCACTATTTCTGTTTACTTATAATGTAAGAATATTCATTAAAAAGGGGAAGTGCCAGATCCTTCTGAAACTAACTTTACAAAAAACGCGTCTTAAAAATATAAAAGCAGGCAACGTTCCTTTATTTTAATTATAAATATACAATTTGCTTTCTTCTCTATCAAACTTTTTTTTCATTTTTTGAGTTCTACAAGATGGCTTTTGGTAGATCTCCAAGGAAACAAAAGAGACTACTGAACCAAATATGCTAACAAGACATCCGTAACACCAACTAACCTGTTTCTAGACTTCCTC